GAGAGAGAGAGAGAGAGAGAGAGAGAGAGAGAGAGAAAGGCTGGCAGCCTCTTCCTATGGTCCCAGTCCAGTGGTACCCACAAACCTCTGTGCTCCTTCCTACTTTCCCAAGCACCTCCGTTCCCCGGGAGCTGACTAGCTCGGAGTGCCTACTGTTGGCTTCATGCAACACTCTGCCTGAGTCTAGACCTTAGACCCTGCAGTGGGGGGTTAGTGAACCAAGTGCAGACTACAAGCAAAGAAGCTGAAGATGAGGCCTGGTACCTGAAAAAAGGACATGGGGACCCAGCTCCATCAGAAAGGCAAGGTAGAAGTTTCTAGGTTGTTCTAGAATGTTCCAGAGTTAAAACATGACTTTCGTGACAGTTTAACTCCTGGTTTTAAAATATTGCCTTGAAATTCTGAAGAAGTAGAAAGGCAGGAAAGCAAGCCCGAGGGACAGCTCTGGCTGCTCCACTGTTTGTTTCAGTGGGGAAGTGCCAGAAGGAACCTGGATCTCATTAGGATGATCCCCAGTTCTACAACTGCAGTCTAGGGACAGTCACAGGCCTTGTAGTGACACATAATGTCCACCGTGTTACTCCTGGTGGGCCATATGTTTTTCTGGAGCCCTGAACCACAACACAAGTTCTGGAATCCATGTATATGTCAAAGGTCTCTTGGCCACTCATCAAGTTGCTTGGGGTGGGAGCTGGTGAGAGCAGCGTCGTACCCTGGCTGCCCTTCTTTGCAGTGTCCCAACAACTAGACCTTTAAAATTAATGGCCTGTGTTTCCTGGTGTCACAGCAAGTAAGACCTTTGTTGACAATGGTCTTACACCAGCCTACGTGGCTGTGCCTGGGCTCGGCCATCTGTTTGACAAATAAGAGTTAGGAAAGTACATCTCAGCATCAAGGATGTCAAACTGAGATCTTATTTTTGGCAGGCAAGCTCCAAAGTCAATAGGCGGATATTAAACAGCCCCCATCCACTGTGTAGGCGGAGACTGCTCATTCGTTTTCCGACAGCTCAGGCCCAAATAATTACACAGAAATTATATTAATTACAACACTACTTGGCCAATCCTTATGCATATTCCTGATTTACTCTCATATCTTTTTTAAAAAAGTATTCTTGTTTTGTTGCTTTTTTTTTAAAAAAAATAATTTATTATGCATACAATGTGCTGCTGGCATGTATGCCTACATGTCAGAAGAGGGCACCAGATCTCATTATAGATGGTTGTGAGCCATCATGTGGTTGCTGGGAACTGAACTCAGGTCCTCTGGAAGAGCAGCCAGTGCTCTTAACCTCTGAGCCATCTCTCCAACCCCTAACTCTTACATCTTAAATTAACCCATTTCTATTAATCTGTGTATCACCACGAGGCTGTGGTTTACTGGAAAGGTTCCAGGCAGCTGCCTCTTTCGGCAGCTACATGGCGTCTCCCTGACTCTGCCTACTCTCTCCCTGTACCTCTGTTTAAATTTCCTGCCTGGCTTTGTTCTGCCCTGCAGTAGGCCGAAGCAGCTTTGTTCACCAACCAGTAAAGCAACACATATAGGACATCCCACATGCCATTGGGTCAGGTCACTTAGCTAATGAGGTACGTGGAGGGGGTTGGCTTACCGGTACCCTTTTAACTTAGCAAGTGGAGTCCTTCCAAGTGTTGTGTTTGCCAAGAGCTTGCTAAGCTGTCTTCTTGGAAGAGTCGATGGCCTGGCATGAAGACCCACACTTTTGGGGACAAGCACTCCATTTCTCCCAATTCAATTAGACACTTGGCTCAACATCTGGCAGTGCCAAGCTCTCTTGGTAGCATTTTCTTCATTTTGGGGCAGGGCCACTTGGACACTCTCCTGGGTTCTGAGGACACTTCACTAGAGAAAATCTCAATATCTTGCATGGAGTCTTGGGGTTACAACATAGGTGTGGAAGGCTTGCGTAGCATGAACAAGGCTCTAGGTTCAGTTCTCAGCACTGTGAACACACACCACACCTGCGTGTCACCTAGAAACAACCCCACATCACGGGCTGTGTGGGGTATGTCAGCAGCTATGCCAACAGATCTGCCTCTGGTCAATAGACCGTTACATTTGGAGCTGTTTCTTTCCATGGTTATTTTGAAGAGTGTTTTCTTGTTCATAATCAGGAGCTAACAAAGGGAAATCAAGGGAAGGTTCTTCGTCTTTAGTATTCCTGTAGAAGCAAAAGAAAAAAAAAATCCTTGCTGCCCCACGCCCTGGAGCAGGTCTAGAATGCTGAGGGAACTGTGGTCTGCCACATCTGAGGACGTTTATCTGTGCCCTCATAGGACTGACCTTCCTTTCTCCAGGGACCTCACTTGTGTGGAACTGCAGGCCGAGTAGGGGACAGTCAGCACTCTGGGCTCGTGTTTCTGGGTGGGTCTTTGCTTCTCTGAGCCAAGTGTTTCCTGTAGAGGGTGGAAGGCCATTCCTGCACTCAGTCCCCACTGAGGAGCACCCAACAAGTCGTTTGGGACCTTGGCTGCAAGAGTTGTGGAAGCACTAGAAACGATGGTTGGACCACTGAGGGTAGGAGAAACAGAAGAAGGCCCTCTTTGTGTCTTTTCTGGGCACTCTTCAGTCCTGGCCACCAAACTCTGATGATCAACTAGCCCTTGGACCCTAGTGCCCTGGGGAAGTGCTATTGTGTGTCCTTGGTGACATTCGAGGCAATAACACAATGACCTTCCTATCTCTTCAGCTTGTTCACCACCGAGCCTCATGGCAGCCTGAGAAAACAGTTCTGGAAAGCCAGTCCCAGCAGGATGACACAGCAAATATGATGGTTGCATTGGTCACTGTGTTTCCATTTGCCTTGGCTGTGAGAGTTCTCAAATCAGTGTCCAGTGACCAGTGTGCTCCCTCTGCCCTTCTCCTCCCTGAGTGAGTCTCCATACTCCCCTCCTGGTCCTCCCTGCAGAGGCCATTGCAGCTGGCTTCTGTCATGGAAGCCAACACAGTGGAAAGTTTAAAGACAGCAAGACAAGCTATAGGTTAAAGAGCATAGCCTGTATGGCTCGCTCAGGACTGAGATGATGGACCTAGTCACCTGACTGCAGCCTCTGGTGTCCCCATCCCAAGTGTCATCAGCAGAGAGCAGAGCTGTTCCTGTGTACTTGACCCTTGACCTTCCAATACCCTGCACCATACACTTGGAAGCTCCCTCTGTGTTTACTAGTCCAGGGTTTTTAGAGTTTGGGGAACGTATCCCTCTTGACCCTGCCTGGGGTTATTCTGAGTGCTGGGTGAGCAGGTTGACCCCATTCCAACTTCTCTAAATCTTGCAGTATAGACCTAGAGAGCCTTACTCTGTGTTAGGCAACATGGATCCCTCCAAACCTGTCTGGCCTCCACTTGAGACCCAAATAGAGCCGACTCCCACAGGCAATAGTGTTCTGCCAGCTCTAACATTGCCTTGATTTCTGCATGCCATGGGCTAGAATTGTGGTTCCCCCCACCCCAGCCCTGTGTGTGTGTGTGTGTGTGTGTGTGTGTGTGTGTGTGTGTGCACAAGCAGGCATGGGTGTTTGGGACCACACTCAGAGCACAGCCTCTATGTGTGGTTCTTTAGGGACCATACATCTTTCAAATTTTTTTTTTTTGGTTTTTTTTTTTTTTTTTTTTTGAGACAGGGTTTCTCTGTGGCTTTGGAGCCTGTCCTGGAACTAGCTCTTGTAGACCAGGCTGGCCTCGAACTCACAGAGATGAGATCCGCCTGCCTCTGCCTCCTAGTGCTGGTATTAAAGGCGTGCGCCACCACCGCCTGTCAAATTTTTTTTTTACTTTCACTTTTGTATTTATTTTTTTTGAGATAGGGTCTCTAACTAGCCTGGAATTCACCAAATAGGGCCACGCTGGCTGCAAGTCTTCAGGATTTGCTTGGCTCTGCCTCCCTTGCAATGGGATTGCAAGTGCTTTGCCTACCATCACAATGAATTTTTTTTTAAATTTTTTTAATGTATATGGTGTTTTGCGGTCACCAAACCTATGTGCCACATGTGTGTCTGGTGCTTGCAGAGGCCAGATGAGAGTGTTGGGTCCCCTGGAACCGGAGTTACAGATGGCCATGAGCTACCATACAGGTGCTGGGAACCGAACTTGGGTCCTCTGTAAGAACAGCCAGTGTACTTAACCACTGAGCTATGTCTCCAGTCCCTCTGCAGGATTCCTTCATGCGACTTCTGGGGCTCAGACTCGAGTCTTCATGCTTGTACAGTAGACGTTACTGATGGAGCCATTTCTCCATCGTCAGTTGTGGGGCTGCAGGACCAATGACCACCTCCTGATCCCCTCAACTCCCTCCACCCATTCTAGACAGTTCCCCTGCATAACCAGGCACGCTGGTGGAAGAAATGGCCCATGGGAATTGCCTGCTGTACCGATTCCTTGATGAACAGGAGGGCTGGCTTTG